CTCTTTCCTGCATGGAGATTTTATGGTTTGCCTGAACACCTTGTAGGACTCAGGAATCGCATTGTCAGTCTTAAGTGTTACTCATATCACAGCCTGTGTGCGCATGCATGTTCACGTATAGAGGTGCAGGAGAGGTGGGGAAGGACCAGTGAATCATTATGGTGCTGTGGGTGAATCCTCCTTTCTTACAATTACTCTATATTCATTTATGTCTGGCATTTCTGGCATCTCAGTCTCCTAGTCTCTTCAGTCTCTCAAACAACCTCTGAGCAAACTTGGTCCTTGCTCTTCCACGTCTGACTGTGCCTGCCTGAAACGAAGAGGCACCAAGAAAGCTACTATGCACTTGCCAACATGCTGAGTTGATTCCAATACTCTCTTTGAAGCCCCACTCGAAACTCAAGGCTGATGGGGTGTTCAGCCCTGCTTGTTTGTTCATCATGTCTTCCAGTCAGTCAACACCTCCCTCCTACCTACACTGAGGATGGAAAGATACTCCTACAGCTTTAAGCAAGGCAGATACACACCTGATCTTGGACGAGTGTAAAGAAAAGAAGCCTATTTAGGTGCAAAGGAATGTGTTTTCTGCTTTGGGTTTCAAACTGGAAGCAACCAGTTCTTGCAGTCAGATCAACTTCCTTTTTTCAGCCCAACACCTGAGGACAGTCCACTTACTTCTCCTTTGTCACCTCCAGGACTTGGGTGGTTTGTCATGCCAGGGAGTGAAACTGGCACGAAAGCTGCTGCAGGAAAAGATGACTCCTGGCAATTGATCGCAGAGACATGTCATGGAACCTTCCAATGGATATTCCAGTCCAGAAAGATAAAATCCTTCGACCAAATGTGGACTGTAATTGGTGCCGCTGTATCCCTCTGCTGATATGACTGTCAGATGCCTTTCCTGCCTCCCTTAGCTATGGATGACTTATCCTTGTGGTGTCTGAAAAGATCATGTAGAATGTTTGCTCCTTGTACGCATGTAACCTCTTCCAGCCCTGTCCCCTTATTTATGCAAGTAGCACCTTCCTCCCCCACCTCCCTTTCCCCAGTCTCTATGCTGTCTTAGCACCATTAACTCTGCATTAAACATATGGAATAATAAACTTAAAAGTTTCATTTTCATGTGTCTGGGGTTTTTTGACCTCTTTCCTGCAAGTCTGTTTTTATCCCCAGTAAGTGTATGATGAGTCACACCATCGCCACATGGATCCTGTGCACAGCCTCCCTCTGCCTGTCATGAAGAGGACACAGGCAGAACTCTGCCTGTCTTACCAGACTCCTTTCACAGAGATGAAATTCATCTTCTGTTCACACCCCAGCTCCAGTCATTTCTTCAGTGAGAAATGTATTAACACTGATTTCTGTTCTTCAGCTAAGATTCAGCACATGCAATTAAAAAGAACACTGGTTTGCATGTGCTTCACCCCAAAATTTCTTAGTGTGATTGTTACTGCTCTCCAGAATAACAGCATGAGGTTTCTTGTCTTGGTTCCTCATCATCAGGTGGCAGATGACGTACTTTCAAAAAAAAAACCAAAAAAATCCCCATATAAACAAACTCGGGTATTTTGGAAGCAATCATTAGTTTCTCTGTAGAAACTCAACCCCCCCAGCCTCTTGCCTTCTACAGGCAAGAACCTAAATACAAACACTCACAGACAGAGAGTATCTTCAAGAATAGATGTACACACCTTCTTACTTGTTAAAGAAGACATCCTGGGTGTAGTCAGATCCTGGGAGGCTATCTGAAGATGTCTGGAAAGAAATTGTACAGCAGATATCGGTCTGCTTAAGAACATCTCTCAAGGCCAATGGTAGCAAGGTAGGATCCCAATTAACACAGAGACTCCACAACAACCATAAATTGATTCCAAAGGGTTTCAATGCTGACGCATGAGATCGATCCAGTGAGTTTGTGTCCACTAAACACTTTGTGGGTGAGTAGAGCAAGCAGGATGTCTAGGAACTGTGGAACAGGTTCAAAGCTTTTTAAAACTTACAGGACTATTTGGATGAAGTCCTGTACAGGTCCAAGAGCGTCAGCAACAGGATGGCTTAATGGATCTAACAATGGTGGTGCCAGCTAAAAACCTCCATGCAAAATAGTGACCACTCACTGGAGAGGAGGAGAAATCTCTGCCCCAAATTACAGGCTGTGGGAAGAGTCCAGAAGGGAACTGTTGGACTGCTGAGCAAGTCAGGAGCACGTGTGGGGAAGAAAGGAAGCCATGGTGGAGTTAAGTGTAGGAGAGCTGAGCACAGAGGTGGGAGAGAGGAGGCACATCGTGTGGATGAACAGAGGAGTGGGAAAAGAAAGTTCTTAACCAAAATTCAAAAAGCAAATTAAGAAAGCAAGTGGGCTCTGCCTCAACCATTCTCTAGTGGAAGGGGATGCTTCCTCTCATCTAGGAGGGTCCTAACAACTAAGACAGGACTGAGAATGCTCCTGGTAACAGAGGGGTTAACCAGTCCTCCTGCAGCCTAGCAGGAGCTGGCCCGGCATCCTTCCCTATCCCTTTAATCGTATCTGATACAGATGCAAGGCTGGGGAGGGGAGGCGGTGGGGAACAAAGAAGCCATTTAAAAAAAAAAAAAAAAGGGACAAGAAAACGACCCCCGCGATCCATGGCGGACGCCAAAACGATTGCACAAAGGCATCATTTCAGGGCTGAAATTTCACCGCACCAACGTGATTAAAGGATTCCACGGGTGGGGGGAGAAGGCTGAAGGCCACAGTGCTGCAAATTAACCTTTTCTTGGTAAGGACGGCCTAGACCAGGAAGCGTTTGTGTTCCTTGCAGTCGACCCCCTTCCCACACCTGCAAGCGTCTCAACATTCCCTTTGACCTGTCATTTTGCCCAGGGACTGACTCATTCAGCTTTTGGTCTCCAAAACCAATCCCTCCTGTGCACACTAACAGAGGAAGGATAGACGGATGCTTTTACAGGGAGCGGTAGGAGAATGACATTCATGGTTGGTTATATGAGCTGAATTCCCAGGCAGGTGGATATAAATTCCCGTTGGGACATGGATGCTCATGTGCAGGCACCGACCACACACACAGCATGGAGAACACACACTTTATATACATGCACAAGCCTTAACACAAACCAGTTGGAAATATTCTTTCTGGAACCAGTATAAAAAGAAAAATGAAGGTAAAATAGAAACCACAGATGAGGTGCACCTTCCCTCTTATTAAAAAAAGAAAACAAAAATTCCAAGAGCACTTTTTAATACGACAATTGAGACTTGGTGTGTTCTGCCTAAAAGCTCTGATCTTCCTCCTGCAGAGCATGAACCTTGGGGCACACAGATCAAGAAATGAAAACTAGGTAGTGGCTGGTTGAAAGCCCTTGCAGATTGTGATGCATCCACCCAACTCTCGACTTGAGCATGTAAACTCCCCGCATGTCAGAGGCGAGAGCGGAGGTGCGCGAAGGGGACAAATGACTGACCTTTCATCACGCTACAGATTAAAGGAACTCTAGGATTTAATTACTGCTGTGCCACCATTAAGAACCACCATGACTACATACAACTGACATGGCTGGAGAACACCCACGCATCAGTTCCACCACCTGTCAGAGAACGGCTGTACGAGGAGCAAGCGCGGCAACAACCCACAACTGCCGAGCTGGTGGGACTGCGAGCGGCGACTGCGCTTCCGGCTGGGGCAGTGCCACTGAAAGGGGATCCCCGCTTCTGATAAGCGGCGGGAGCAGGGAAACAATAGGTGATTTGATGAGAGCTGCTCTACGATACTCCTGAGAAGCCCCACAGCCAGCCCGGGCCAGAGAGGAAATTGGGGGTTTCCACAGCAACCTGCTCAGGGCACAAAGACCCAACTGTCTAGGGGGAAGCAATGGAGGTGTCTCAGCACTCTTGTTTTAAGAAGGGACAGGGGCAGAGGGCTGGAGTCTTTCTGAAGCCAAAGTACCTGCAAGAGCACTTCTGTACAGCAGGAGTTTAACTGGCTACCAGTCCTATAACCAGGGAGGAGCAGTGCTGGAGGAGGAGGAAGTTGTTACTGCAGTCTTTAGCCCAGCTAAAAGGTAGGGCTTTCGCAGGTGAAAAAAAAAAGCTGCAGGAAAAGCATGGCACTTGGCTCCCTGAGCGTATTAATAGAGCCCATGAGACAGAAAGAAAGAATAATGACCAAGCTGGTAGAGTAGTAAGAACGGCTTCTCCTGGGCACGTAGGACTGAGGAAAGAGACGGTGGGAGAGGAAAAAAAACCAAACCCACACACATTTAATTTAAAATGGGGAGGTTTATAATTTATTTACACAAATATAAACAAAAATAGAAACATCTCTGCAGAAGGAAAGAACCAAAACAACGGCTGGAGGCTGATCAGTCTGTGATAATTAACTCATCCACACCCCAGTCTTCATAGCTCCCGTCCGGTAGGTAACGACGGATGATTATGGGGATCTTGCGTGCTCTGGAGGGAGAACAGAGAGGTGAACAGAAATGCTTCGCTATACCACTTCAGCAGGCAATGGGAACTGAGGCGCTCAGCGGCTTCAGTAAGCTCATCAGATTTAACCGAGAGATCTGTGTGGCACCAGAGATTTGGTACTACAGAGGGAAGTCCCACTAACCTTCTCTCTTTTGTAGGCACAAAGCACTGAACACCCTTAGACTCAAAACAACCGAAGACCTACAGGTCAGCCCTCTGTTGCTGCTGCAGGGATTGAGCCCAGTGATCCGAACCCACTATGAGACAACACCAAGCATCTAACACAGATATAGGATGGGGGGAGAAATCAAGGGATTTCAAGAACAGATCCACTTTTTGTTTGATGGAAGACTTTTCCTCACAGGACACTACAGAAGTGGCAGAATTCTGAGAACCTTCACGACAAACCGATATTTACAGAATATTTTGCACCCTGAGAGCATCAGCTACGTTTTAAGAAGAATACATAAAATAGGGACTAGTCACGTACCAAAACCTGGTACAGCTGGGGTGGAACACAGCATCTGCTAACAGTGCTTCCAATTAGAAAGCAAGAAAATGCTGAACACAATTTAACTTGTTGGAAGCAGATTTAAGTCATCAGAACGTAATCAGACAGTCTGGAACCTAACCAGGGCATCAGGTTTCAACCGTATCAGACTTGAAAAGTAATACTTCTTCTTTAATGATCACATTCAGGGCCCTCATTTTTCCAGTAGCAAAGTAGCTCCCTCATGCCAAGAATTACAACTGAGTTTTGGCACAGAACAGGATGCCACCACACTTTGTCACACCCTGACTTACTTTCTGGGGCTCGTGCTCAGACGGTGACGAGAAGCCACTCAGACTGAGCCCGGAGATCGGACTGGAATGTGACCCAAGGAGCTTTTGGCAACGATAAAGGGAGTGCAACAGATACAAAATCTGCAAGAGCAACTGCAAGGCACTGAGAAACTGGGGGAGCAGAGGGACAATTCAGTTTTGAGAACAGGGGCTTAATCAGTAACGGAGTCCAGTTGCTCTGCTTGAAGGACACCTGCATGCGAGCGAGGTCATCGACCATGCAAACTGTGAGCCAGCAGGGAGCTCTGCTGTGGAAAGGTGGGCCTGTAAGTGGTCATCCAGCAGCTGCCTCTGCTACGGTCAGAAAGGATTTGTTGATCTTTCTGTAAGCAGGTGACGTGCCTCCCCACAAGCACAATAAGACAGGCATGCAAGGGTGCCGGGAGAGATGATTTTTCACAGGGTCTCCACACCACCAGCCTGACCCTTATTTTGTTGGGGTTTTTTTTGCCAGTGCTTCATTTGAACACAGGTCTATTCAGATGGCTGCTTCAAATCAATTCCATTTAGGGAATTAAACTGATTTTAGAAAGATGAGGACCTTGGGTTCTCATCATAGAAATAAAAACCACTTGGACTCCGAAGTAAAAGAGGTCAGAGCACCCCTAATCATCAGTACTTTGCACGAGCAACTAGCACAGGAGAAGTCCCAAGGTGAAAAAGGGGAAGGCAACTGTAGTGCTCACTGTTAGGTTGAATTTGAATCAGCTGCTAAGTGTCAGGATGAGGAGAGGACTGCTGGCTTTAGGGAAATCTCACCGCCAAAGTCTGGGACTTACTTGAGTTCTTTCATGGCAATCAGCAAGGGGTCTGTCTCTCCTTCCAACTCCACCATCACAGGGGCACACATCCTGGGACAGAACACCAACAATCATTCAAGTGAACCCACAGAGAGGGAAGAGGGACAGCTAAGCACGTGCCTACCTGGACACCGGCCAGTAAAGTAGGAGAGTGGGATGCCACCTTGGCAAGTCTGATTTGCTCTCTCATGCACTTCAGGAAGAAAATTCCCCCAAGAGGTTACAGACTCAGCTCTTACTTGAATGTTCTTTGTGCCCCAACCCTCAGCCTCTGCTGACCAGCTCAAGGTGCTCAAGGGCTGGTTAGATCTACACCCTTCCAGTCACCTTCTGCTGTACTTAAAGGTGAGGAAAAGAGCAATTCTAAAATTAATCCACTGAAGAGAGTGGAAACACTGTAACATGAGCATGCGTCCTACAATTCCAGCACATCTCTTACATTCCAATTTGCTCACACCTTCCAGTCTTTGTCTGAGGGGGGAGCAAGGGGCTGGATTTACACACACTCTAACCTTATCTAGGAAGAAAATTAAGCATTTTGTAGAAGGTTGTAACACCAGAGCAAACACGGGTGATGATATCCGCCCATCAGACAGCGGCAGCAGCAAAGGAAGTTCACGTTATGTGTGGATAAGGCCACTGGGGGCTGCTGCTGGCCTAGGTTCAGCACTGAAGGCAGAATACATAGGCAAAGCAGAACCAGGCGCCAGAGTGTTGTGGATTAAAGGCCTGGCACAGGCCCATCTCATCTTCCCCATTTTTCTGGCCTTCCACCAGTTGAAAGACTGTGCACAAAACAGCTTCACAGAGTGACAACTGCAAAGAAAGCGATGATTAAGGAAAGATCTGATCACCACCTATGAGCTGCTAAACCACGCAGAGAAGAGGCATCGTTCTGGAGGTGGATATAACCAAGATGAAACTCAGATCTATGCTTTCAGAAAAACCTTGCCACAGCCTAATAATCTTGCTCATAAGGCAGCTTTTAAAAAAGAACAAAACTTTTTGATATGTATTACTAAAACAAGTCTAGACAGAAAAAAATGAATGAAGTTCAGCAGCCAGCCTTAACAGAACTTAATAGAGAACTTAAATGTTAATATCTACTATAAATGAGGCCTTACTATTCCAAATATTTAAAAAAAAAACAAAACCAAAACCCAAAACTATCAGCTTGCCGCAATGCAACTACACTTAAAACAGATTTCAGGTTGGTTACTCCATTCCCAATTCCTACAGCCCTGCGGTAAAGATGTTCTGGAGCATCTGTCCCTCCAACATTGGCTTTTGAAGACTATTTCTGACAAACCAGTGGGGAGAAAGCAGGCTTTCCAGCTCACACTGGCTCCCTTATGAAAGACAGAAGCCAGGATCCGATTGTCACATTCCTTACTCATTTTGCCTGTGACCTAGGAAAGTCCACTGCAGCTGCCGAATGTCCCCCTCTCAAGGCAGAAGTACCTCAGTCTCAACCCAGAAGAGATACAGAGACTTCACATGCAACCAAGAGCCCCACGGTCCTGTGCTTCAGCGCTGACCGAGACGGTGATCTGCAGGCTCAGCAGTCATGTAAGGGATTACACGAGATCCAGGAGTTTTTAAGGAAGCAGGAAAGTAGCTTGCACTGGAAGGGGAGGGGAAGCTGTGGCAACGCTCACGATACGGAGCAAAATACTCACGCAATCTGGAGGGCGCGAGTACCCAGGACTCTGGCTCGCTCGTATTTGGTCATGTAGGGGGTAGTGATCCGCTTCTGGTTCGCCTGCTGCCGCTCTCCCGAGGGGAGGATTTCCACGTTCTCCTGTCCCTCCTGGGGAAAGCAGAGCCGGGCTCCAGCTCAGCTGCGCCCACCACCGAGGCCCCACCGAGCTGCGAGAGCCCTTGAGGCCTCCCCAGCCCCAGCGACCGCCTGGCCGGGCCGCCACCCACCTCCTCCGCGTTCTCCAGGTCCTCCAGGCCCTCATCCTCCTCCACATCGTCGAAGTCGTCCCCGTCAAAGCTGCGGGAGAGACACCCA